GTATAAATAGTAGAAGTTTATATTCCTATTCTGTAGTCTTTAGCTGGTCATTTCTTACTGCCAATACAAAGGTCTCTACTCCTTATCCCTTTACCTCCCTTCTCTCTTAAGTTGATAGTTTGCATATTGACCTTGGCACTCTCTTGAAGTAGATTGTGTTGATGTGCCTGACAGTATCACAGTTGTTGCGAGTATGGCTAAAAAGACCAACACAATGACTATCGACAATATAACTGTGGCGATGGAATCCAATGATCGTAACAAGTCCAGCATCCCCAAGAAAAACAGTATTAACGCTAATTGGAGCAGCACAGGCAAGCCTCGAAGGATGTTCGGTACTTGCCATTTCACTATGCCTTCGTATCACCTCTGACAAATTTCGAGTCTCTCTTTGTATGATGATGTTTCATATTGCTCATATTCTCGTATCCATTGTAAAGCCAAGATGACAACCAATACAGTAGCCAAGCTGAGGGTCAAGCTGAGGAACCAAAATATATTGAGTCGAACAGCAAAGGCAGATGGCAAGAACTTCTGAGGAGGAGGTGGTATAGTTGTGCTAGCATTTCAGCCATTGATAGACGCTAGCTCAATAGCAATTTGGCTGAGAAGGCGGATAGAGTCATCAACAGGATCTGTCAGCATTTTATACGACTTGATGACGAAGGCGGTGACGACAGCTGAGAAAAGGCTAGCCTAGAATAAAAAATTTCAGAGATTGTGTAACAAGAAAGATTTAATTGGCATACGAAAATGAGCAAATTCTGAACTTCATCCTTCCAAGCTGTGCACATCGCATCATTGCACTCCTTGACAGGCTTATAGCACGTCTCCCATGGATCACCATCTTTAGGTATCAGATATCAAAATGGATCGCCGCTACGCCATGGTATGAACTAGAAATATGAGTGCTTCCAATGTATAGGATGACAGGGCCAGTCACACCTCAAGCTCTTTGTTTACTTGATTTGTATTATCCTCAGTACGCGCACCATGTGAGGTTGCAGCTGGATTTCCAGATGAGGATGGTTGCTTGGGCACCTTTTACAGTTTCTCTCGGTTTCAGTCCTTTATATTCACATGGCGCTAAAACGTTACCTCAAGATGCTCGGTAGGGACATTTGAACCCCTGTCTTCGAACAACTGAGGGTTTGTTATCTGCAGGACTTTGCTTAGTCCCTGGAAGCTGCACGGGAGTAATAGAATGTACTTCGGGTTGAGTCATTGTTATGTTATCGGATACGATGGAGGGATTAAGAGAGTTGAGCGTGTTAGTTTACGCGCTCGGAACTACACACCAATATAAAAATAGACCGCACAGCTCCTTCTAACTCTCAAAATATCTATCTCTTTTTACACTTTGCGCCAATGTCGCTAGCAATTTATATTCTATATCAAAGAACGACTAATATTTATCATCTGCCAGTAGTAGGTCTATGTATGTATATATATAATTGGTCATGAAGGGAATGAAACAATAACGATATGAATGCGAACGAAATACCAAAGCAAGTTACGTACTAAAATCATTGGTCTAAAATAAAGAAGAAAAAGGTCGAGCAAATCCTCATTTGAGGCGGGGCAGAATGTCGACGCTCTAATGGTTGTTTTTGTACATGCTATCAGATACGTTGTCGTTTGGAAGGTATAGTAATAGAGGGGTGAGACCGTGTAAAGTTCTTGGTCACTCCATTCCGGGACGCCGGCCAAAATTCAAGAGTGGGGGAGAAGCCATGTGAGGTGTCTTAGTACAGAAGCCATGATAGAGTCCGGATTACTACGAGGAGACCGATGGTTGATTAAAGACGGGAAACGAAGTCGTTAGTTGAGGCAGAGATCAAGTATGAACGGGGAAGAAGCTCCAGTGCCAGGAAGAGGAAGATTCACAGAGCCATCATTTGACCCTTCACTCGAGCCAGGCTGATCGTGGTACACTAGCCGCTCTACATCATTCATCGATGAACCACTTATTTAAAAGGCATCCCCAACGGAGAACGGGTTCATACGAAATAAATGAGCAAAGATGTGTTCGTCGGCGAAAATCCAATTGAGAGCCGGAATTCCTTCGATGACTAAAACATGGAGTTGCCGACGGAAGAGGAGAACGCAGCAAAGGTCCAATAGTTCTTTGCATCTCGTAGCGCCTAGGGCAGAAAAAGTGGAATGATTTCGAAAGCCCTGTCCACGATAATCTGGTTGCTTCGTTCCAAGCCCGAGATTGACGCTCCTTCTGACGTCTTACTAAACGTCACTCTGGTCTGCGGGTACTGAAACGGTAAGAAGTGTCGATCGCGCGACAGAGATGCCGTCGGAATGCACCTTCGAGATGAGCTCTCACGACGCTGTGTTGACTCCACTATTGAAGACTGTGTATTGAGGAAGGCGCCTTAGGGTCGGCCTGGGTTAATGTTGACACCCCCAGCACGAGATGTTGACCAAGCACACAAAAATCCGGAGGTACGAGAGCGCCGAGTGCACCATATTCAGCTCGAGTCACCATTGCTCGGTACAGTGTGCTCAACAATTGATCCAGCGAGCATGCAGCTTAGTGAGGTGGTCACGACGAAGAAGTTTGTCGCTGAGAAATCGCTGACGAATGTGGGGGTTATGGGCACGTGATTGAGTAACCCTCGGGAAACGCGATCAGTTGTGATGTGGACGAGGCCAAGCGCCTCCCACGTCGAGGTCAGGAGGCCTTGAGTGAATTGAATCCAGTATTAGAATTGAAAGAAGGTGTTCGCATCAAGAAGCACGTTTCTAGTATTTAACAGCATTTGAGAGGATTAGGAAGGGTGCGATGGGGAGACGGGAACGGGCCTGGGGGGCCTCATCGACGACGCCGACATTAATTCAACGCATCCGCGCAGCACCCGGAGATTTCTCCGCATGGCCAAGATGCCGGATGATAAAGAGAGCGTGATGATTGGCTAATCGCGACGATATCGCGGGCTATCTCGGTTGATGCCATATATACACATGAAATCAGCATAAAATTCTAGAGCTTTCCAATCCCCTTTACAATCTTCTTCTACCCCCTCGAACTCAGAGTTCGCCTGTGTTCCTCCCTTCCTACTCTCTATTCTCCTCGTCATCGCTATGTCCTTCCTCCGTGCCTCTGCACGCGCCGCTGCGCCCCTCCGCCAGGCTGCAGCACGCAACACTACGCAAATACCTCGCGCTCAGTTCCGTGCCTCCTTCCGCAAATTCTCCACCGAGGTCCCCAAACCCAAGTCCAACACAGTTCTCTACGCTGGCATCGCTGTCGTCGCTGCGGGAGGTGCTTACTACATCTTCTCCGATGCTGGGAAAGAAGCAGGAACTGTGGTAAAGAGTGGTGTGCAGGCTGCAAAAGCAAAGTCCGGCTTTGTACCTTCTAAGGAGGACTACATCAAGGTATTCACTAAGTGTACGCTTTCTGGCGTTTTATTATTATTAACGACTCTGAAGGTCTACAATCGCATTGCCGAGATAATAGACGACGCTGGTGACTACGATGGTAAGTTGCTTATCTCTAGCTATTGAACGCTGACCGATAAACTCCCAGACGGCTCCTATGGCCCCGTCATCCTTCGTCTCGCCTGGCACGCGTCCGGAACCTATGACAAAGACACCAAGACCGGTGGCAGGTTCGTATCTCCCCCTTGTATTTACCAAAATTCCAACTAACGCATAACCCTTCCAGCAACTACGCCACCATGCGCTTCGAGCCGGAATCTCTGCAAGGCGCCAACGCCGGCCTTAACGTCGCGCGCACCCTAATGGAAAAAGTCAAGCAAGAGTTCCCGTGGATTAGTTACGGCGACCTCTGGACGCTCGCTGGCGTCGCCGCCATCCAAGAAATGGCCGGCCCCAAGATTCCCTGGCGCCCCGGCCGCGTCGACGGCTTCGCAGCAGACGCCACTCCCGATGGCCGTCTCCCTGACGCTACACAGGGCGCCGACCACCTGCGCAATATCTTCTATCGCATGGGTTTCAACGACCAGGAGATCGTCGCGCTCTCCGGCGCGCATGCTCTCGGCCGCTGCCATCGTGACCGTTCCGGATTCGAGGGCCCCTGGACCTTCTCCCCTACGACGGTGACAAATGATTTCTTCCAGCTGCTGTTCAATGAGAAGTGGGTGTGGAAGAAGTGGAGTGGACCGAAGCAGCTTGAGGATAAGAAGACTAAGTCGTTGATGATGCTTCCTACGGATTATGTCCTCGTCCAGGATAAGAGTTTCAAGAAGTATGCCAAGGCGTATGCGGATGATCAGGATTTGTGGTTCAAAGAGTGGGTGTTTTTTCTTTCTATCTTATAAATACATTTTCTGATAATATCCTTCACAGCTTCTCCAATGCAGTCGCAACTCTCTTCGAGCTTGGTGTCCCCACGCAGCAGTTCGTCGCTTCCGAACCCTGGGTGCTACCCACCGTCGAGGAGCAGCAGGCTGAGAAGAAGTAAATTGGACCTAGAAACTCTAATGGTTTTTATGCCAGAACCATCGTAGATGTTCGTGAAAATCTGTGGTCAACATCGTCGTAGTTGGCCGCGCATTCCTGGCCCTAGGTCGATCGTCGTATACTAATTTACTTACTCTTGCTTACTTGCTTTTTATGGGAATGTTGCTTATGTATTTCTACCCCTACCCATCGCATCCTCCACGCCCCTACGTGCTCCTCCGACTATTCATTATCGACAACGTGATTCAACCTCGTTATCTTTGACCTCTCCTTTTGATTTATGCCACGGTATTGGAACTTAGTACCTATCGTTCCTATCTTTTGCTGTTTTGACGGTTTGTTAGAGTAGAATAGAGTAGGTAGAGTAGAGAGTAGAGTAAAGTAGACGCAGTTAGGATAAATAGATAGATGTGGTTACGAATCGTATAGGCAATCGTTCTAATTTATAAATTTACTATCCAACTTATTCTTGTACATCAATTTGTCTAAATATTTCCCGCCTTCGGGGACGTATTAGAAGATGGGCAACGCAAGAGCAACGGCCATCCGCCAGAGATCACGGGTCGATGGCGTAGCTGGTTATCGCATCTGTCTAACATTATATATGTTCACAGAAGGTCCTCAGTTCGAACCTGGGTCGACTCATGTTGTAGTAATTTATTTTTTATCTTGCTCGTTAGCATGGTTAGAACTTAGTTATATATATTGAGTGGCAGTACTGAAAAGTTGATTGTATTTCATCTGGAGCTGTCAGGATTAACCAATATGTTAGTGACCTTAAGCGAGGTGATGCACTAATGTGAATCACGCGCACTAATCTAAAAAAAAAGTAGATCGTAAAGCTAACCTGTAAGCCATAAAAACGAATGCGAAAGAATACCAAAGGGGGCTACGTACTAAAATTCATGATCAATAATAAAATGGAAAAGAAAAACTGCCGAATAAATCTGATTTGAACTGGGGTGGAAGGCTGATGTTCTAATTGCTTTTTTAATACATAAAGCATGGTACTATTATATACATTCACGATGAATTTATACGCTCCTATAGCCACTTTGGGACTGTGAACCATCATATAATTGAAAACATAGGATAAATATATTTAGAAATTCGAAGTGTCAGCTAATGATCCCATATTGAAAACTAATTATCCATGACCATATCTTTGACCCCAGGCAGAGTTACCAGCAGAGTTTTATCACGAAATGCTGACCAGGAGTCGGCTCTCCAAGGGTACTCGGCGAAATACTGTTTGCTATACTTGGAGAAAATAGCTCGGAATAGATCCTCAAGAGCTTTAAGCATTTCGCGATGCTGTTGGGAACGAGAGTATCCGTCCAGATTAGGATGGACCCTAGCCTGAGGGGACTTAAGCGAAATGTAAACCATGATACGTTCGAAAAGACTGTATCGAGGATCTGAACCACTTGATTTATTGCAGTTTGTGGGTTCAAGCTGTGGCCGACAAATCCACTGGTAGAGAATACCATAAAGTTTGGCAAGTGGTATGTGCAATGCGCTATTAATTGTGTCTGAGTCGACAATACCATACCATACGAATTTTCCTGTAATATTAAGGTTTGTTAAAGAATATTTGCCCCGAGACTCGAAAATAGTTGCAAGGCTGTGAATTACTTGCATAATCAGCTCTATTAGAATCGCCATTCAGCTACTCAACCCCAAAAGATATGAGTGATGTACCTGATGGAAATTTGGTAATGTCTTTAGCATCTTCTGTGTGCCCATCGAATGAGATGAACGGACAGCTGAATCCGTCATCCGTATTTTGTGTTTCATTATTGTAAATCCGGACAAAAAGCTCCATTTCGTGTACTGATAACTGTTGGTTGGGCGTATGACTGAGGCCGCTAAAGTATCTGAGACACCTAGCAGAAGTAATATCATTATATAAGGCCACGTCTCCTGTCGGATCTCCAATTTCGACACCAAATCCATCAAGCAGTACTACGGTGCGCCTAGCAGTAAGAGAAGATGGCATGTCATTGACGCAATAGTAGATTGCAGATAGTAGACTGTCGTTTCCTTGTCTAAATGTTCTGCCAGCCCAGGCGATCGCATTAGGCAGATATTTATATGTCCCAGAGCTATTCCAAACATTGTCAAAAACTGACCAACCACCTGATGATAAATTCCTTGTAGACATGTTGAACTGTCTAATTGGCCAACAGGATAGCAGCTTCAGCTTGTAACTAATGGAAGCTAATTGAAACACCAGTTGATAAAATGCCCAAGATTGGGGAGATTTGTATGGGCAAAATGACCATGACTGTGAGTCCACGAAGCCTTTGAAAGGGCGCTGCACGAATATAAGTTGTATCCCTGGTATCACAGTCGTTGTGACTATGACTAAAAAGACCAACCCGACGACTATGGTCAATATAATCATAGTAATATAATCCAATGATTGTAACAAGTCCAGCATCCCCAAGAAAAACAGTATTAATGCTGATTGGAGCAGAATAGGCAACCCCCGAAGGATGTTTGGTACTTGCCATTTCATTATGCCTTCGTATCGCCTCTGACGTATGTCAAGTCTCTCTTTGTATGATGTTGTACCATATCGCTCATATTCTCGTATCCATTGTAAAGCCAAGATGCCAACCAGTGCAGTAGCCAGGCTGAGTGTCAAGCTGAGGAACCAAACCGTATTGAGTCGAACGGCAATGGCAGATGGCGAGAAATTCTCCTGAGGCAGTATAGTCGTGGTAGCGTTTCGGCCATTGATAGATGCTAACTCAACAGCGATTTGGGTGAGAAGGCGGGTAGAGTTATCAATAGGATCTGTTAGCATTTTATACGACTCGACAATAAAGGCGGTGACGACGGCTGAGAAGAGGCCAGCCTAAAATAAAAAATTTCAGAGATTATCCAACAAGAAAGATTTAAGTAGCATACGAAAATGAGCAAATTCTGAACTTCATCCTTCCAAGCTGTGCACATCGCATCATCGTAGTTCTTGACAGCCTTATAGCATGTCTCCCATGGATTACCATCTTTAGGTATCGGATATCGAAATGGATCACCGCTACGCCATGGTACAAACTAGAAATATAAGTGATATGAATGTATGGGATGATAGGGCCAGACACACCTCAGGCTCCTCGTTCACTTGACTTGTATTATCCACAGTAGGCACATTATGGGAAGTTGTGGCTGGATTTCTAGGTATGGATGGTTGGTTGGGCACCTGTTGCAGTCTCTTCGGTTCAACCCATCATGTTCACATGTCACTAGAACGTTACCTCAACGCGCTCAGCAGAGACATTTGAACTCCTGTCTTCGGATGACTGAGGGTTTCTTACCTGCAGGACTTTTTTTTTTAGTCCTAGAAGCTGTATGGGAAATGACAGAACGTACTTCGGGTTGAGTCATTGTTATGTTATCGGGTACGATAGAGGAGTTAAAAGAGTTGAGGGCGTTAGTTTACACACTCGTACGAACTACGTGACACTAATTCAAAAATAGATTGCACAGCTTCTTCAGATCTAAATCTTAAAATATCTATCTCGTTTGACATTTTGCGCTAATGTCGTGAGTAATTCATATTCTACACCAAAGAACAAATAATATTTATCATCTAAAGTAGTAGGTCTATATATTTATGCACATAATTAGTGATGAAGGGGAATGAAATAAAAAAAATGTGAATGCGAACGAAATATCAAAGCAAGCTATGTACTAAAAATCCTTGGTCCAAAATTCAAGAGTCGGGGAGGAGCTATGTGAGGTATTTTAGTACAGAAGCCATGATAGAGTCTGAAATACTACGGGGAGACCGACGGTTGATTGAAGGTGGGAAACGAAGTTATTAGTTGAGGCAGAGATCAGGTATGAGTGGAGCAGATGACATGTTGACCAAGCACAAAAAATTCCGGAGGTACGGGAGTGCTGAGTGCTCTATGCTCAGTTCGACTTACCGTCTCTCAATACAGCGTACTCAACGATTGATCCAGTGGGCATGTAGCTTAGTGAGGGGGTCACGACGAAGGAGCTTGTCGCTGGAAAATCTCTAATGAATGTAAGGTTCGTGGATACGTAATCAAAGTTGGTTGTATTTAATCTGTAGCTGTCAGGATTAATCAATATATCAGGGACCTTGTTGAGCGAGGTAGTAATGCGCACATGTAAATCACCCGCACTAATTTTTTTTAAAAGTGTAGGTCGTACAACGAACCTGTAGAAGCATATAAAATGAATGCTCAGGATACCAAAGCGAGCTACGTACTCAAATTCTAGATCCATAATAAAATGGAAAAGAAAACCCGCCGGATAAATTTGATTTGAACTGGGGTGGAAGTTGGGTGGAAGGCTGAAGTTATAATTTTTTTTAATACATAAAGTACGGTCTACATACATTCAGGATGAAACGGTATATGTTCCTATAGCTAATTTGGGGTTGTAAACCTTCGCGGAATTCAAAGCATAGATAAAATATATGTAAGAATTCAGGAGTCAGCTAATGGTCCCATATTGAGAACTAAATATCCACGACCACATCTTTGACGCCAGGAAGAGTTACTAGCAGAGTTTTATCACGGAATGCTGGCCATAAGTTGACGGCATCCCAAAGGTTCTCAGAGAAATACTTTTTGCTGTACTTGGCGAAAGCAGATCGAAATAGAACCTCCAGAGCTGTAAGCATTTCACGGTGCTGATGAGAGCGGAAGTATTCATCCACATCAGGAGGGACTACATGGGACACTGTTACGGTGTAACTCATCATATTGCAGAAGAAATCATATCGAGGGTCTGGATTAAAGTCTTCTAATGCATCGTAACATATAGGTTTAAGCTGTGGCTGACAAATCCACTGGTTGAGGACGTCATAAAGCTTGGCAAGTGGTATGTGCAATGCATTATTAATTGTGTGTGAGGCAACAATACCATACCATACAATCCCTCCTGTAACTTCGAGGTTTGTTGGAGAATATTCACCCCGAGACTCGAAAATGGCTGCAAGGCTGTGAATTACTTGCACCATCAGCTCTATCCGAATCGCCACTCAGTTAATACTCGATCCCAGAAGACACGAGTGACATACCTGATGGGTATCTGGTACTGTCTATAGCATATTCTTTGAGCTCTTTGAATAAGTACGGGCAGCTGAATCCATCATCTGCATTTTGTGTTTTCCTATTACAGATCCGGACAAAAAGTTCCATTTCGTGTATTAACAGCTGTTGCCTGGGTGTATGAATGAAGACGTTAAAGAATTTAAGACACCTAGCAGAAGCAATATCTGCGTATAGCGCATCTTCTTCAATTGATTTTTCTGCTTCAATGTCAAAGCTGCTAAGCAAATTTACAGTGAGCCTAGCGGTAGAAGGAGACATGTCATTGATGCAATGGTAGATTGCAGGTGGTATGTTGTCATTTCCTTGTCCAAATGTTCTGCCAGCCCAGGCGATCGCATTAGGCAAATATTTGTATGACCTCATTCTATTCCAAACATCGTCAAAAACTGACCAGCCACCTGATGATAAGCTCCTGGCAGTAGTAGTAGATATGTCAAATCGCATCATCGGCCAAGAGGATCGCAGCTTCAGCTTGTAACCAATGGAAGTTAAATAACAAGCTAATGAAAACACTAGTCGATAGAATGCCCAAGATTGGGGAGATTTGTA